GGTATTGCTTGATCTGGTATTGGTTTGACATTAGCATAATGTAAATATTGTTGTTTTCAATTGTTTTTAGATTTATTGTATAGGTGTTTATTTTGTCTTCTGATATAATTTAAAAATAGGTTGTGTATTTTTGTAATGAAGGCTATTATAATTAAAGTTCTAATTATATTGTTCCAAAATAATATATGTAATTTTATTATAAAAGGCCATGTATCTTCTTATTGTTTTATTATCAAATTTTGGTGTAATATAATAGAATAAAATGTTGTATTATACAATCTCTATTGTTGAATTTCACTTGAGGTGATCAGTCTTTTGTTAGATTTGAGTAAGAATGTTATCTCAGTTTATTCATTTAATAATTTTAAAGATGTCAAAGTTTTTGCATTATTCAAATATTTAATTCAGTTTATTTAATATAATATGTTTATAATTAATACAAATATAATAATATATTATAGCTAATATATTTAAGAAACATTAACATTAATGATTTATATGTTTCTTTGGGTTTGTATATGTTATTTGATATAGTTGTTCTACAACTATTAAAAATGTAAATATTATTTCTAATAATATTACATATACGATTAAATATAATGATATAATTGAAGATACATAAATCACAATTATTTTTCAAGGTCAAGTGGTAAGTTAAAGTATAAAATTTGATTAATGTATGAAGTTCTAGCTAAGTAAAATCAAATAGTTTAAATATGTTTTATCATTATACATTTTCGAATAATCTAAAGTTAAGCTATTGTAATAAGCTATTGTGTTTAACTTATTGTTTAATAAATTATATTTCCAAGCTAATTTGTAAATTTATATTTCACATATCATTTAGTATTATGATAGTTAATCTGTAGTATTATTTATTTGTTGTACAATCTTTGGTGTTTTAGTATTTCTTCAGTTTAGGTGATTTGATAATCAACAGTATATTTTCCAGGCACTGTAATCTATCATTGAGCCCTTAGAGATGTTTTTTGGTTTTAGTTATACAGGAAATTCTATTATTTTGGAGATAGTACATATTCTTCACCTTCTTAGTAGTGACAATAATTAATTTTATTGATTCTTCAGATATTTTTTTTTTGGTTGATTTGATAAGGATCTCTTGTCATCTTTCCTCTTTTGGAGTATTCTTTAACATATTCAAAAATGTAGTATTCGAATATTTTTGTCATGTTATCAGTTAATGTTGACATGAACACTAAGTGTTTACACTGTTTATAATCTTGCCAATCTAAGTCTGATTGTTTCAAAGGTTCATTATTCTTGATTTGGATTAATTCATTATATTGTACCCAATATAGATATGTTGGTATTTGTACCAAGTTAGCTTGATTAATTCTATCTTCTTGA